TCTGTGTTACTTAGTATATCTTCCCAGCTTATATCGGTTAGGACTTGGTTTACTTGGTCCCACTTTATGTTTTTGTTATTGAAGTTGAATTTGGTGAATGCTCCCTCGTGACTAGTCTCATTATGTCGGTCTGGGGCTCCGCGCATACATGTCTGAACCTCAATTATGTTTTGATCTGAGTATATTGTTTTTGATATGTGTGACAAGTTAAAACAGTCTTGATGGTATGTGTGACAAGTTAAAACAGTCTTGGTGGAATGTGTGAGAAGTTAAAACAGTCTTGGTGGAATGTGTGAAAAGTTAAAACAGTCTTGGTGGTATGTGTGAGAAGTTAAAACAGTCTTGGTGGAATGTGTGAAAAGTTAAAACAGTCTTGGTGGTGTGTGTGTGACAAGTTAAAACAGTCTTGGTGGTGTGTGTGTGACAAGTTAAAACAGTCTTGGTGGAATGTGTGAGAAGTTAAAACAGTCTTGGTGGAATGTGTGAGAAGTTAAAACAGTCTTGGTGGAATGTGTGAGAAGTTAAAACAGTCTTGGTGGAATGTGTGAGAAGTTAAAACAGTCTTGGTGGTATGTGTGAGGTCTTATTATTTCAAGCTTAATAGTTAAAACAGCTAAGTAACTCAACTGTATGATATATCAGTTACAATAAAAGGAGATACAATAGGAATAAAGTAAACTAAATTATTTACATTAACATTTAAGATATGATAAGAGGATCAGCTTATAATAAAACTCAGTAAATCCACAGCTAAAGTACTGCTACACTCACTGCCATAATGACTTATACTTCTCTCACTGCTATAATGACTTATACTTCTCTCACTGCCATAATGACTTATACTTCTCTCACTGCTATAATGACTTATAGTTCTCTCACTGCCATAATGACTTATAGTTCTCTCACTGCCATAATGACTTATAGTTCTCTCACTGCTATAATGACTTATACTTCTCTCACTGCCATAATGACTTATACTTCTCTCACTGCTATAATGACTTATACTTCTCTCACTGCCATAATGACTTATACTTCTCTCACTGCTATAATGACTTATACTTCTCTCACTGCCATAATGACTTATAGTTCTCTCACTGCCATAATGACTTATACTTCTCTCACTGCCATAATGACTTATACTTCTCTCACTGCCATAATGACTTATAGTTCTCTCACTGCTATAATGACTTATACTTCTCTCACTGCCATAATGACTTATACTTCTCTCACTGCTATAATGACTTATACTTCTCTCACTGCCATAATGACTTATAGTTCTCTCACTGCTATAATGACTTATACTTCTCTCACTGCTATAATGACTTATACTTCTCTCACTGCTATAATGACTTATACTTCTCTCACTGCCATAATGACTTATACTTCTCTCACTGCCATAATGACTTATACTTCTCTCACTGCTATAATGACTTATACTTCTCTCACTGCCATAATGACTTATACTTCTCTCACTGCTATAATGACTTATACTTCTCTCACTGCTATAATGACTTATACTTCTCTCACTGCTATAATGACTTATACTTCTCTCACTGCCATAATGACTTATACTTCTCTCACTGCCATAATGACTTATAGTTCTCTCACTGCTATAAATGACTTATACTTCTCTCACTGCTATAATGACTTATACTTCTCTCACTGCTATAATGACTTATACTTCTCTCACTGCTATAATGACTTATACTTCTCTCACTGCCATAATGACTTATACTTCTCTCACTGCCATAATGACTTATAGTTCTCTCACTGCTATAATGACTTATACTTCTCTCACTGCCATAATGACTTATACTTCTCTCACTGCTATAATGACTTATACTTCTCTCACTGCCATAATGACTTATAGTTCTCTCACTGCTATAATGACTTATACTTCTCTCACTGCTATAATGACTTATACTTCTCTCACTGCTATAATGACTTATACTTCTCTCACTGCCATAATGACTTATACTTCTCTCACTGCCATGACTTATAGTTCTCTCACTGCTATAATGACTAATACTTCTCTCACTGCCATAATGACTTATACTTCTCTCACTGCCATAATGACTTATACTTCTCTCACTGCCATAATGACTTATAGTTCTCTCACTGCTATAATGACTTATACTTCTCTCACTGCCATAATGACTTATACTTCTCTCACTGCCATAATGACTTATAGTTCTCTCACTGCCATAATGACTTATACTTCTCTCACTGCCATAATGACTTATACTTCTCTCACTGCTATAATGACTTATACTTCTCTCACTGCTATAATGACTTATACTTCCTCACTGCCATAATGACTTATACTTCTCTCACTGCCATAATGACTTATACTTCTCTCACTGCTATAATGACTTATACTTCTCTCACTGCCATAATGACTTATACTTCTCTCACTGCTATAATGACTTATACTTCTCTCACTGCCATAATGACTTATACTTCTCTCACTGCCATAATGACTTATACTTCTCTCACTGCCATAATGACTTATACTTCTCTCACTGCCATAATGACTTATACTTCTCTCCATCTAAATTAAACCTTGGAAATCTTAATATTAAAGTACAAAAGTTTTAATTCATGTTGAGGAACAAGCTTCATCATAATACAGTTGTTTTATATAGCAACTTACGTTTAGATTTACCTGGAATAACTCAATACAATCATTATAATTTATTTAGATTAAATATAATTGAGCTTACAGGCAGTGATATAAATTCTTATAATATAAATGTTACTGTAAGAACATTGTTGAGATATACCGCACATTGAAATGCAATGGAAATAATAATAATAATAATAATAATAATAATAATAATAAATTAACCCTTTCAGGGTCCGTCCCGTAGATCTACGGCTTTACGTTCAGGGTCCAAACCGTAGATCTACGTCATGAGCTCAGCTCACTCTGATAAACTGTGAGTGGTACATTTGGGCCTAGATATGAGAGAATACATCTATGTGGTATGTGTGCACCACATAAAACAGATCCTGCAGCACACTGTGTATAATGAGAGAAAAAACTGAAATCATGATTTTTCGATTAAAACAGCGACTTCGCAGTGTTTTTTCATATGTTTTTTATAGTTGTATTTGCGATTTCTTGGTCTCATTTGATAGAATGGAAGACATATTACAGAAATAGAGATGATTTTGATTGGTTTTAGCACTGGAAATGGCTTGAAACTGAGCTCAAAGTAGCAGAAATGTTAAATTTTTGACGATATTCAAGAGTAAACAAACGACCTCACACGTCTAATACACGTCAGCTGGTGGGTCTAATATGCATTCACAAATATGGTGATGATATTTATACAATTATTACAGTATTGCATAACAGTAAATCTTCTATTTTTTGGTGTGAATAAAAATTCATTATGTGAATAAAAAATCAAAATGGAATTTATTTGTGAAGTCTCAAAACGTAACTAATGAACAGAGGAAATGTTAGATTAGTTCCAGGAATACCTACATTGTTTATTCTGGACCCTATTTTGAAATTGGAGTATTTTGAACTTTGTGTTAAATTGGCCAAATTAACAATTTCCGATCACTTTAATTTGTAGTTGAAACAGTTGACTTGGCAATTTCTTGTGTTCAATCAATAGAATAGAAGGAATACTAGTGAAATAGCTAAGAATTTCGTTGACTGGAATAATGTAATTGGCCTAAAATGGGAGTCAAAGTCGGCAAAATCGCTGATTCGTAAATATCGCTGACACATCAAAATTCGCGAGAGCATAATTTCGTCAATTTTCCATCGAATTTCGTACTTTTTGTTTTATTACCTTCACAAAAAGATTCTCTATCATTTCATAAGAAAAAATAACAAATTTTTTTTTTTGAGAATTCTTGGACACTGGGGCACCACTTCAGATTTGGGCCTTGGACCCTGAAGGGGTTAATAATAATAATACATGAAATACAGAAATAAGTCACTTTGGTTTGTGGGGTTATCCTAGATAAGTAACTTATACATATGTTACTATGTATGACATTATAATCTCATGTCATGTCTGAGGGCAATGTGTGGTGTGAATATAATGCAGAGAATTCGTAGTTTGGAAGTTAGGAGGAGGTGTGGGATTACCAAAACTGTTGTCCAGAGGGCTGAGGAAGGGTTGTTGAGGTGGTTCGGACATGTAGAGAGAATGGAGTGAAACAGAATGACTTCAAGAGTGTATCAGTCTGTAGCGGAAGGAAGGCGGGGTAGGGGTTGGCCTAGGAAAGGTTGGAGGGAGGGGGTAAAGGAGGTTTTGTGTGCGAGGGGCTTGGACTTCCAGCAGGCGTGCGTGAGCGTGTTTGATAGGAGTGAATGGAGACAAATGGTTTTTAATACTTGACGTGCTGTTGGAGTGTGAGCAAAGTAACATTTATGAAGGGATTCAGGGAAACCGGCAGGCCGGACTTGAGTCCTGGAGATGGGAAGTACAGTGCCTGCACTCTGAAGGAGGGGTGTTAATGTTGCAGTTTAAAAACTGTAGTGTAAAGCACCCTTCTGGCAAGACAGTGATGGAGTGAATGATGGTGAAAGTTTTTCTTTTTCGGGCCACCCTGCCTTGGTGGGAATCGGCCAGTGTGATAATAATATATATAAATATAATCTTAAATTTTATAATGTGCCTCAAAAAACTTATTTTTCTGAAAATTATGAGAAATTAATCTGGTATAACCAAAGTGTTATGTACTCCATATTTAAATATTACAATGCTTTAAGAAAATACTTATTTAAGACCTACAGAGGTAATTATTACATTATTACAATCAAAACTAAACACTAAACCCACAAGGGTCAACAAAGATAATAAGTTATAATCCAGGATAACCAACAAAGCCCTCAGTTACTTTTTTTGGGAGGTAATCCTGGATAATTTAGACATACGATAATTATACTCATGTGAACCTGTACGTCAATAAACTTATTTATTTACTAAAGCAATAACGTAATTTATTTGCAGTTGGGTTGACAGTCTTCTCACCTGTTTAACACTGGCGGGAAGTTTCTCCCAGCTGCAGTTTTGAGAGATATGTGTCTCGATCTCTGACGCCATGGTTCTCTCCTCGCTGCTCTCTCTCCTCACATCACACTCACATATTGTCTACACTCTCGCTAAAAAAATATAAATTTTTGCTACATTTTGAGCAACAATGTTTATGTGGGAGAAAGTATAAGTGGCAGACCCTCGCAGCCATCGTGGCTAACATAGAGGATTGGATTCTTTATATTTTTTATCTCCCGATCTGATCCTTTTCAGTGATTATTTTCATTACGTTATTATTTATTAATTGTTGTATGAAATGTATTTTTTTATATCTTCCGCTTCTAAATTGTTTGTTCACTACAGTGTTTTGTGCCACTTTTTGCATGGATTTTAATGTCTGTTTATGTAATATGTCAAGGACGTATATATATATTGCATCATATCTGCATTATACTCGTGCATCCAGGCTGTTTATCCTTATTAATATTATAAATAATAACAAAGGTCATTTATTAAGCACATAGTTCAATGTAGCTTTTAGCTCCTGGTCAGAACTAAGACATTTTATTACCACTCAAATACAAGCATCGAGGCTATTTACCCTTATTAGCTTTATAAATAATTAACTTCATTTATTAAACATAGAGATCATTATATTTATATATTTTATCTGGTCGGAAGTAAGATATTTAATTATCACAACACAAACATGCAATGTATTTACTCTGGCAACAATTCTTACTTCTGTAAATTTTTATTTTGGAGATTATTATCAAAAAGCAATAACATTTATTTTGGCACTAACTGCACCTCAGGCCTGTTTACCTTGTACAAGCACATTATTCCTATATCTACTGATGGCGGAGTAAGGTTGAGTTACGTTAGGTTATTTATGGGCTCAGGTTTACAACTGATGGGTGGAACTCAAATATTAGTTTATATTTTACATTATTTACAATCTATATACAATAATCAATAAATAAATATTTTGTGGCAATTGTTAGTTTAGAGTTATTAGCAAAAAATAGCAGGCCTGGCCACATATACTGATGGCGGAGTAAGGTTAAATTAGATTGGGTTTACCTGGAGTCGCTTCCGGAGGTCAGTGATCCAGGGCCCGGTCCCAGACCAGGCCTCCTGGTTGCTGGGCTGATCGATCAAACTGTTGGTGCCTGCTGCCCACAGTTCAAAGTATGTAGCACAACCTGGTTGATCAGGAAGTGTTTTGAGGAATCTGTCGAGTTTCATACTAAAGACAGCTAGGGATTTGTTGATCTCCCTTATGCAGGAAGGGAGGATGTTGAAGAGTCGTGGTCCCTTAACATTTATTGAGCTCTCAGTAATTCATTACTGCCCTGCTGTTCACTGGAGGTATCCTGCACCCTCTGCTAGTCCTTTTGTGTTCATAAGTAGTAATTTAACGTTCAAGTTTGGGACCAATCCAGTATCTTCCTGGTGTATATTATGTATCTTTTTCTCCTACATTTTAAGGAATGCAATTTTAGGGACTTTAAGCGCCCCCAAGAATTTAGGTGCTTGACTGAGTATATATGAACTGTGAAAGTTCACTGTACATTTTCCAGTTCAGCAATTTCACCTGCCATGAAGGGGGTTCGTTGGTATAGAGCAGTATAGCAGCCTAGGGAGAACCAGTGACCTGAAGTGTTATCACAGTTGTGGCATCCCTTGTTCTGAAGGTTCTAGTTATCCAACCTATCATTTCTCTTGTAGTTGCGATAATAACATTGTTGTGCCCCTTGAAGGCGAGATCTCTTGACATTATCACTCCCAGGTCTCTCACAACACTTACTTTCTGTCGAGTGGTTTGAGTTTGTCTTGTACCCTAAACTCTTTATTCCCTCCATTCTTCCATTGCGTAATAACCGAAATTTGCCCACAGTGAACTTCAAATTGATGTCCGTGGCTCACTCAAAGACCTTTATGGGTTATCCTGGTGGGTAATTTACACTATGTATGATAATTGTACTAAAGGACCCCAATGGAAATAATAAAGGACCCCAATGGAAATAAGTCACTCTGTCTGACTTTTTTGGGTTATCCCAGGTTCTCTACACATATGCTGCTATGTATGATAATTCTATGTAACTGTATTTGTGTATACCCGAATAAACTTACTTACTTACTTAAGTGTGCCTGTGCCTCAATAAACTTACTCTGGGCAACAAATAACATGATAACTATAGTAACCTTAGACCTGCAAAAGGCCTTCGATATTGTCAACCACAATATATTATGTAAGAAACTTCATGCTATCGGTAAAGGTTCTGTAGACTGGTTTAAGTTCTACTTTAGCAACAGAAAACAAATTGTCAAAATCAACAAAGCGGAATCAGAACCCCTGCCGATAGCATGTGGAGTTCCCCAAGGTAGTATTCTGGGTCCCACATTATTCTTATGCTATGTTAACGACATGCCTATCAGTGTCAAGTGCAAACTCCTACTGTATGCAGATGACACTTTACCTGACACTAACAGTGCTCTGTTAGTGTCAGGTAAAGACCCACAAGATATAACTAATGTATTAACACTGGAACTGGAGTCCTGCAGCAAATGGTTAGTAGACAACAAACTATCATTACACCTCGGGAAAACTGGAGTCATTCTCTTTGGCACGAAACATAAACTGAGAAGGGTAAATAATTTTAATGTCCAGTGTAATGGGGAGCACATCACTTCGGTTTCCTCAGTAAAATATCTGGGAATCCCCTTTGACCCATGCATGTCAGGAGAATTAATAGGAACAGTGTAGTAAAGAAAGTGAATGCCAGACTGAAGTTCCTGTATAGACAAGCACAGTGTCTACCTACTGAGGCTCGCAGGACCCTATGTCTAGCCCTTATACAGTGTCATATGGATTACGCTTGCTCTTCATGGTACTCTGCCTTGACAAAAAACTGAAAGATAGACTGCAAATCACCCAGAACAAAATCGTAAGATTCATCCTGGGGCTGGGACCAAGAGAACATGTAGGCCAGGATGAATTACAGCAGTTGGATATGCTGAATGTTGAAGACAGAGTAAAACAACTGAAGCTAAATCATGTTTATAAAATTGCTCACAAACAGTGTCCAGAATATCTTGCTGTCAATTTTGTCAAGGTTGGGAACCAAAGCAATCATAGTACTAGGGGGAGAGAGCACAACTTTGTAGTACTCACAGTCAGTGGCCAGGCTTCAAACACCTTTTATTGTGCAGCAATAAAGGAATGGAACAGACTGCCTGCACATGTCAAAGCCAGTCATAGCATGAACCAGTTCAAGAAGAGTGCCAAAATGTGTCTGATGAATGTAGCTACAGAAAGGGAGGGGAATGATTTTTTATTTTTTAGCTAACATACGTGTAATTTTACCTTATTCCTAGTAATGACCCTCGTATTGTAGTGTTAATGACCCTCGTGTAGTAGATAGTCTTTAGTATGATAATAAGATGTTATCTTCATTATAGAATGATAATAAGATATGATAACCTTTATAATATAATAATAAGGTATTAAAAGGACCCCAATGTGTGACCATGGCGTAATAGCGCACAAAATGCGTGCTAAAGGAATAACAGGAAAAGTCGGTCGATGGATCTATAATTTCCTCACTAACAGAACACAGAGAGTAGTCATCAACAGAGTAAAGTCCCAGGCAGCTACGGTGAAAAGCTCTGTTCCACAAGGCACAGTACTCGCTCCCATCTTGTTCCTCATCCTCATATCCGACATAGACAAGGATGTCAGTCACAGCACCGTGTCTTCCTTTGCAGATGACACCCGAATCTGCATGACAGTGTCTTCCATTGCAGACACTGCAAAGCTCCAGGCGGACATCAACCAAATCTTTCAGTGGGCTGCAGAAAACAATATGAAGTTCAACGATGAGAAATTTCAATTACTCAGATATGGTAAACATGAGGAAATTAAATCTTCATCAGAGTACAAAACAAATTCTGGCCACAAAATAGAGCGAAACACCAACGTCAAAGACCTGGGAGTGATCATGTCGGAGGATCTCACCTTCAAGGACCATAACATTGTATCAATCGCATCTGCTAGAAAAATGACAGGATGGATAATGAGAACCTTCAGAACTAGGGAGGCTAAGCCCATGATGACACTCTTCAGGTCACTTGTTCTATCTAGGCTGGAATATTGCTGCACACTAACAGCACCTTTCAAGGCAGGTGAAATTGCCCACCTAGAAAATGTACAGAGAACTTTCACGGCGCGCATAACGGAGATGACTCAAGAAATCGTAATGACACGATTGCAAATAAACCATACCCCCGGCCGGGATTGAACCCGCGGTCATAGAGTCGGGCTGGAGTTTTGAGACTCTATGACCGCGGGTTCAATCCCGGCCGGGGGTATGGTTTATAACGGAGATAAAACACCTCAATTATTGGGAGCGCTTGAGGTTCCTAAACCTATATTCCCTGGAACGCAGGAGGGAGAGATACATGATTATATACACCTGGAAAATCCTAGAGGGACTAGTACCGAACTTGCACACGAAAATCACTCACTACGAAAGCAAAAGACTTGGCAGACGATGCACCATCCCCCCAATGAAAAGCAGAGGTGTCACTAGCACGTTAAGAGACCATACAATAAGTGTCAGGGGCCCGAGACTGTTCAACTGCCTCCCAGCACACATAAGGGGGATTACCAACAGACCCCTGGCAGTCTTCAAGCCGGCACTGGACAAGCACCTAAAGTCAGTTCCTGATCAGCCGGGCTGTGGCTCGTACGTTGGTTTGCGTGCAGCCAGCAGCAACAGCCTGGTTGATCAGGCTCTGATCCACCAGGAGGCCTGGTCACAGACCGGGCCGCGGGGGCGTTGACCCCCGAAACTCTCTCCAGGTAAACTCCAGACCCCTGGCAGTCTTCAAGCTGGCACTGGACAAGCACCTAAAGTCAGTTCCTGATCAGCCGGGCTGTGGCTCGTACGTTGGTTTGCGTGCAGCCAGCAGCAACAGCCTGGTTGATCAGGCTCTGATCCACCAGGAGGCCTGGTCACAGACCGGGCCGCGGGGGCGTTGACCCCCGAAACTCTCTCCAGGTAAACTCCAGACCCCTGGCAGTCTTCAAGCTGGCACTGGACAAGCACCTAAAGTCAGTTCCGGATCAGCCGGGCTGTGGCTCGTACGTTGGTTTGCGTGCAGCCAGCAGCAACAGCCTGGTTGATCAGGC